ACCCCCGTAGATTTCAACCTAAACGCTATTTATGCTTGCTACTTGTGAGAGAAATTCAGAAACGCGTTAAATTTTTTGAATACACCTACGTAAATATTTTCTCTGATAATTAGACACACGCATGACGGTATAACGATTGAACACTGACTCTTCCGGTCGTACACATCACGAAGGCTCTGAAATACAAAGAAAGATCCTGGCACACAGAAAAGCACAAAAAAATATTTATATATTTCATATTCGATATTAAATTTTCTTACGAGCGGAACAATTTCTCTATAAAGCGACCGAAAGGGTTAATTCAACGAACTCGAGTCAATGCCTCGAAATGCTCGCAGGTTGTAACTGTTAACAAGACGGAAATTATTCTATTAACATACTCAGTCCTACCGGGGCCCGAGGTATTACGGATATTGGGGACTGCTATCCCCGAACAATCATCCGCGTTAATTACGATCGATGTGCATGCGCCGGATATTAGCGTGTCCCAATTCAGCAAACGTTTGTACGAGTAATTCGGCAGCGTCGGATCTCGCAGACGCAGACGGTACGTGGAGTTCTCGCGAGACGTATAATTTGTTCTATAAACATTGGCGTGAAACGTCAGGAAAAAATTTGAAAGAACCTCTGAGGGTCTTTTTTTTTTGTGCGAGAGTGGAGTTCAATTCTGAACTCTGCTCTCCAAAATATCGATAAATTTACGCTCGGTTTACCTAATGCGCCCTGAAATTACTTCATTTCGACGCGGTTTAACGATTTAACGTTTCTAACGTGAACGTGTGTGCGGGCCAATCGTTGGTTCCACTTTAGCTTTGCTCTCCCTTAATCGCCTCTTATACGTTTCTAAGAAGGCTTAGATGGGAAATCATCCTTACACTATAATAGGATATCAACAATGAAGATCATTTCGCGCCCGATTAGCAATCTCGATTAGAGAGATCGACAGCCAACTGCCACTGCACAATCGCAAGTTGTATACCATTACTGTCGAATCTACTACGATTACTATACTGATTACAACACCATATCGCCATTACTGAGACACTACTGATACTGCTAATATTACTAACGTTACTACTTGTACCATTACACTACGCTTAGACTGCGTCTTGGGTCGTTGAGGAAAATTTTTATTTTTTATTAAATTAAACTCAAATTTTCATTAACTCATCAATCCCATATAAATTTACTAAATATTCTATTTTTTATTATCTCTGATCGGAATCGAAAGAATCTCTTTTTGACTCTGTTAAATTTTAGCATATGAAATTTTTTTTTCCCTGACGACCTGACGAATGCAGTTCATGCGACTAACGCGAATTCTATTCAGGCCCATTTTTTACTCTATGCGTCACTACATGTCTCACCACCGACATTATTAAGAAATCTAACGTTTTATATATATAGGAGAAATTCTCACGACATACATTGTCGGTCACAACATATACATGACGTGAAAATGTGCCTCCAGCAATGAATCAGTCATCGCTGCTGCTGCTGCTGCTGCTATCGCTGCTGCTATTTGCCAGCGTTGACGCGAAAACGGCTCGTACACGATCCAACAATCTGCGCGGATTGTTGTCGCAAAACGGACATCATCATTGCAAAAACCATTATATTAACTTTGCATCTCAATACAGATATTTTTATTAACGTATATCGATATTTTGACAGCCTTTATCTCTTATGTATATATATATATATATATATATATATATATATATATATATATATATATATATATATATATATATATATATATATATATATATATATATATATATATATATATATATATATATATGAGATATCTCTATCTTAATACCGATCTTTAAACCCCTCTGATCTCAGCTGTTGATCTTCTATCTCAATTTAGGTACCTTTACCCTGTAATTTTTCCATAATTTTTCTTTCTTGTCGCGCAGACTGTTGGACCGCTTGTAGGAACCGCTTAACGAGATCCAATTGCTCTCGTGTATAATGAACAGCTGTTGTTTTGATGGTGTATTCCATCGTGATCGTTTTTTTTTTGTTTTTTTTTCCTGTATAAACCGATTTCACCCTCACACATTCATCCTTCCCACTTCGTTCCCTTTCTTTCTCACTCTCACTCTTTCTGTAGAAGATCTCAAATACTTTCTGCCATCCACACGACACGCTAAATGCGTTCGCGAAATACAATAACGACATCTGACATGTAGAAATGATTTTATCATACATTCGAATTTTCCTCCTCGCGGCCCTTCATATCCTTTCTCAGATGTGGTGAAATTTTAAAGCGTGCCAAGCACACTCTCACCTATCGAACGCTGTTATCGCGTCTGCTTTCGTATACGGGACGTATCGGAATAATTGGGACAGTCCCACGAATTAGGCATTGCGACAATTTTCGATATTCACAAGTGGATTATCGTATTTTATTACTAAATAATTCAATCCTCTCTAAATTCTTTGGAGTGGAATATCACTCTAGAGAGTGAAAATTGAACCACTCTTGAAAAGGAGTAGCTCAATTTTCTTTGGAGAGTGACAATTCCTTCTAAAAAGGAAGGTTTAGAGAATAGACAATTAATAGTAAGTAATAATCTATGTTATAATTTGTGTAATTAACTTACTGTAGTGTGACAAGGCAAATTATATCGAGATACTATTGTTACGTGAAACCATAATAATCATCATCGTCATAATTCTCGACCGGCAATAGCCGTCATCAATTAAACGATCGATTTACCATAAAGTGATTCGCCATAAAGCGATTATGAGCGAATATTGATTTCAGCATCACTTTCGTCATCTACTTCGTTAATCATTGAAAGTGTCGCGATGTCGCACTCGTGTCGCAATTAGCCCGATCGATCCACACTTCACAAGATACACGCTGTAATTCTCTGGACTGTGTACTTATCTCTTTACTGTATTTTGTATGCTGTAGCCATTCTCGCGAAGCTTACAGCTGTGTCGCTTTCAGTCTACGTGTAAAATATACATATATATATATATTTTTTTTTGTTCAGTATATATATGTAACTACATACATATATATTTCTCTTTATGTATGTACATATTAACATGTATCTGTCTATCTAGTGTACATATCAAGAAAGTATATAACCCGTAATTCTCGTAAACGCTTGTGACAGTAGATATCTGTCTGTCTGTTGTAACTTATTTTATTCCACTCCTCTCTTTTTTAACCTAACATCTTCTCTCACTTCTCCTCTTTCTGCCTGTCTGTCTTCCGTTTCTCTGTATCTCTCCTTGTTTATTTTTCCTCTTTTTCTTGTTGCAATCTGTGCATCAAACGTGCAACTTATACTTTCTGTCGGCCGTCGTCTTACCAAAGTAGATACTACTTGACCCTGCTTTGACTTCGAGTCGCTGGCCGAAATGTAATGTGCGCGGTGTATATACGTCATCAGGAAGGACTATAAATGTGTATTATTATATATAGATATAACATTTGTGTGTGAGAATCGAGAATTGGTCGTCCAATTGAGCTCGGAACGAAGTAGATTAACAAGAAAGCGAAACGTCGCAAAGAAACTCCGCTCGGCGTGATCGCGCCAATCACGCTAATCACCGATTAGCACGGCGAGAGTAATTAAATGACCATCGTCATTGTCGTCGTCGTCGTCGTCATCGTCGTCGTCGTCGTCGTCGTTGTCGTTGTCGTGGTTGCTATTTTTATCATCTCTTCATCATTATCTGGCCGGTTTAACGTATATTCGCCTAAATACGCGTTGACTCTCAAGAGACGCACCGCGACAGTCGCTTGAACTTATAATTGACATGACGACCTTAAAAAGATCACGAGAGGAAGCAAATGAAAATTATTAGATTAACCCCGAAAAATCTTGAAGTTTCCTTCAACAGTCAATCATTTTCTCACGTTTAAGCTTGCTTTGCAATTCCCCTCGAAAGATCATCCTGGGAGATTACCTCGGGGAAATAAGCAAAGAGCAATCTCTGATTTAATCTAATAATTTTCACACCTATTTCTTATCCACGAAGAAAACTTCCTCCCCCTCCCCCGGAAGCGAGGACTATAGTTCACCGATAATCAATATCTCTCTCTTTATCAACGTCGCCGACGCATCTCGCCCATTTACGCTCCATTAGATCGTCTCGTCATCAGTCATTACTCTTAATATCGTCGACGTCGTGTCCGTCATCATTGTTATCTCTCTATTCTTGCTGTAACTTCTATCGTAAGTGCTAAATGCAGAAACCGGTTGCAGTCGTGGCTGATTGATCGCGATTGTAATGCGAGAGAAATTCGATTAGAATCGATTATTGAGAAATTGGGATGGTTTCGTGCCAGGTAATCTCAGTTCTTTAATCGAGCCCTTTTTGGGAACTCAGCTTACTTGAATAATTGCCGTCAGTGACTCTGTGTTTTTTAGGAAATTTTATTATTAACCTTCAACTATGTACTGAAAAATACTCCTAAATTTTAAAACGTCCTGTTTGAAGTACAGAATGCAAGTGAATCTCCATTTTACGGCGATCGATAGAGGAAGGTTCAAAGTTATTTTATTTGCAACTTAAAACCTCATAGTATCAATCATACAGATTGCGCAATTGTCCAAAAATGTTGGTTTGGGGTCCACATGACTTGTCCTTGTAGTGGAGGGTTAATATAAAAATAAGTAATTTAATTAAAATGACTGCATGACTGCAATTGGCCTATGAACAGATGGGTGAGGTGTTTGTGGTTACATCGTTGCGATTAGGATCATGTACGTATGATATCTCAGAGACATTGACACGACGAGCTGCCTCTGGATCGCTATTTCGGTTATCATCGTTCTTATTAACCTTCTTACTATTTTTAACACATTATTATTATTTATTATTATTATTATAATTACTTATTATTACTTATTTGTTTGACTTTAATGAACATATTATTATCTGTTCGTTACGCGCGGCACGTTCTATCGAGAAGAACGCGATTTTTCCTTTTCTTTTTTTTTTTTTATATTGATAGACTCAACTTGCGATACAATTGCAACAAACGATTGGTCTCGTAATAGCATTATTATTTTACAAACGATAACGTGTTTCTGCTACCGCGCAGAAATTCGTCGTTTTCGGTCCGACGGGACGTGCCCCTGCGATTTTGTTGCTTTCTTGTCTGTGACTTTGTTCTGCAGTTAATTCTCGCACGCATCCACTGAGAAAAACGATTCTTTCGTTTCCGTTAATGTGTGGCACCTTCGAACCTGTCGTAGACCGAGGAGATCGGAGCGAACACTCTGACGATGTTAGACCACCAAGGCGGTAAGCAGTCTCCCAGTAAACATCAATAAGTCACTGTCTTTCTCTCTCTCTTTGTCTCTCTATCTCTCTATTCTGCGAAGAACGAGCGAGCGATGCGCTAGTTCGACGAGTGTAAAACGTCGATATGAAAAAAAGAGGATTAACGTGTAACAAGAAAAAAGGGGAAAAAAGCTGGCGCGAAGCGAAGAACGCCCTTCATTAGCTGTCAATTTGCGTTTCCCTTTGGGATGATTTACCGGAATCCTGATAAAGTCGTGCGAAATAAAGAATCGACTGTGAACGGTCGACCAGAGGATTCAGGAATATTTTAGGTTTTTATTCCATAAATAGAATGGAATATTAACGATATCTGCGATTGAAAAACACCTCATTTTTGCTTTTATTAACACACTTAAACACACTTGGATATGGCAGACCCAACCCAATTGCTTATAACTTTCATAAAAATGAATATTGTAAATAATTGTTTTCACTCGAAACGCCAGACATTAAGGAATATAATAATACCAAGCAAATGCTTTATTAATAAAAAATTATGAGCAATGGAAAAAGCAGTGGAAAAAAGTCAGATAAAGTAAACGTCCCAGACATATTCGGACATTTACATAAAACTTTGTACATTTGTTTATATTATTATTAACCTCAAGTGCTTTTTTAAACATAATATTATAATTTAATTGTGATCTTGAAATACAATTAAATTACAATATTGCAACTGTACATATCCGGTTACTGGGATGTATACCGAAAAGGTGTTTAAGGGTTGATCAGAGTGTGATATTTACTTTTTTTGTTTATTAACATCTTATGGAATATATAATTGTCTAGTTGTGACTCGAATCAATACGATCAGTGCTTAAATCGTGTACGGCCGATGCGAATCAACCGTGCAGTCGATTCTCTCCTTCGCTGAGAATGACAATGACCCATTCGCTGTCATCCGGGTAGAGGTAACAAGTGAGACTGCCACGATGACGAGAACGGCCAGCATACCGATAGGTGAAAGATCGAACGACCGTGCCGTCATCGATGTCGAACCACCTCAGCGACGTTGTCGCTTTTAGGCCTCCCACCTAGGTTTATTTAGGGCACCCGACGGAACTCCATTCGTTACCCCGATCTTGTCCCCCGATCCCTGACACCGTATCTCCAGTATCATATCTTTCAGCGGCATGATGCTCTATCGATGTCTACTGTGTGGGACGCTCATCGAGTGGAACCCGCTATCCTTTTACCTTTTTCTATACTTCTGCCTCTCTTTCTCTTTATCTTTCTCGCCTTCGCCACCTTCCTCTCTAGCTTTGCTCTGCTCTGGTGTCCATTTACTTCTACGAGGTGCGTCATCAGTCGACGGAATCGTTCGCACTCAGAAATTTGATATTCTTCGCTCGTAATATATCGAAGAGCATATCGAAGTTGGAAAAGCTTATTCCTTCGAATACAACATTCGAAATTTATTTAGAAATATATAGAAATAAGCAATTTCACGTTCTTTATTAGAAGCTACTCGAAACGTGCTCGCTTGATCAGAATATCGTCAATTTAGAGTAATTTTCTGTACATACTTGATGTATATGTAATTTTTTACGTACGTCATAAAGTTTACAAGCAACTCGTTTATTCATATATCACTAGGAATTTGAATGTTCATTACATATGTATATGTAAATATGCAGATGTGAGTGCGAAAGATTATCAGCATCGAATTCATGAGATCATAAACTCTCGTTACGGGAAACCGCGCAGGTTTCATCCTACATTTTTAACACACCTTTCATTCCTCATTCTCGAGTGTTTAAAATATCGCTCTCTTTCATGCGCGTTCTGTTCATCAAATTTTTCATTCATCCCCTGAAATTCTCAAGAAGAAAATAATTAGAGCGAAACCTACCCATTTCCTACCAATTACCAGGATCTCCCATCGAATAACTCATCCAGGAGTGTGAAGATCTGTACGTCGCCACCCATTTATTCCCCTTTTAGATCTTAATTTAATTGCTATTAATTATACTTAGTATAAAATAATATCCTCGTCACTTCATCCAACCTTTCTGAGAATTAATTAGGAAAAAAAGTAATGCAGGGTGGATTCTCCTACGTTCCTTTTCATCATTCCGGTCTCTTCTTTCATTATCATCGTTGAACCTCATTGTGCCAGCATTTGTCGACAACTGTCAAGCGTCATCACGTCGTCATCCATCCTCGTCCATCCAACCTCCTGATATGCATAATAAATAAATTAGCTGAGGCCAAAATTCGTCGTCCGCGCCCTCTCGCCCGCCGACATTCTCATCTCTATCTCTTCCTCCGTCATTTTCTTTCTGTCTCACGTCTCTCCCTCGTTTCTCCCCGCGTTTGGCACAGGCGAACATGGCGGGGGGAATCTTTTTTTCTTTCTTTATTTGGGGGGGTGGCGTTGAGGATCGCCGCGGAGCGAGGCGAGGGAGCGTCCCGACGGCGATTAACTTTACCTCAATGTTTAACACGTCGCCTGATTGCCTGTCGGTTGCCTGTTTAGAGCCACGAGGTCGGGATGAAAACCCTCGTAATGCTGGACGAACAAGGCGGTAAGCCACTTCACTCTAGCCTCTAACACAAACTAGTTTTGCGCGAGAGGAAAGAGAAAATACGAAAGATACTCAGGCGTGCGCGGTCTTTGCGACCGTCACGTCGGTCCCGAGACACTGGAAGCGACAACCGGCAATAAATATCAACAATATCAACATTTTTACAGCGTGCATATACCGATGCACCGTGGATAAGAATAGTACTCGCGATTCGTCGCAAATTATTTCCCGATCTCTTTTGTCTTCACGAAAAAAAAAAAAAAATACTAAATTTTAATAAATACTTGTTTGAATAGTTCTGAGTAAATATTTACTAAATATAAACGTATATAATAATTAATACAAAAACCATTATTTTGATTTAACTATATTTTTTGATTGAATAAATATTCATTTACTGTATTTACTTGATACTATTCTAAGAAATATGTATTAAGATTTAGTAATTATTTTTTCAGTGTTGTTACTAAAATATTTGAAAAACGTAAATGATACTAGATAATATCGATTGGTCCCCTCGATTTTTATATACTTTTAATTACGGGCGTTTTTAATTGCGGCGCAAATAGAGAATATCTTCTTATCCGCCGTGCGATTAAAATACGCGGCGATATCTCGCGAGCGTGGCAATTGCGAGTTTCGTATCGCTAATAGACGGAAGTATCTAAAGATATACCAAAGTATAGCGCAAATTCCTCCATTTTGAACTTACTAATGATATTATATACCAACTTATACAGCATAGAATTTATAATAATATCATTGCAAATTCTCTGCAATATTGCTGTAACATGCAATGTTACTGTAACTTTTGTGTTGTAGGAGAATAATACTAAACGCTTATTGTATCGTAACAATAAGCGCTTAGTATTCTTCCCTTACAGCACAAAGTTGCACAAAAGTTGCTGCAATGCTACTGCAACTTTCGTGCAACTTTGTGTTATAGGGGAATAATACTAAGCGCTTATTGGACTACAGACAATTGGATCGAAAATGGCAGTCGAAACAGCCAATAGGAAAGTTGTCACATTTCAGCTTAGATAAAAAGGATTGCGCTTTGGTGTATCTAATGTCTAATTCAGATTGGACGCAGCAAGCGTCAAGCAGCGGTGGAACAATTAATCAATATTTACAATGGTAAAAAAATATCGCCTCGCTTGCTGCGTTCAATCTGCACTAGGCATAAAGCTTCACCCTGAGAGAAAGGATTTTGTTAATTTAAGCCATTGTATCTTTAACCGGTAATCGGTAAATGTGACAACAAATTTTGTTGTCGTGATTGCTGCTAGTCCAACCAATTATTAGTAATAGAAGCAAACTAATCTATCTTTTGGATAAATTTTAGGCTCGTTTACATAAAATTTGTAGATGATCTGAATTTGTGGAATCTTAAGTCGTAGGAAATCGACCAAGCACAGTCTAATATAGGGAGAATACTTGACTAGAATTGGTCAATTTCTTACGATTTGACGTCTTGCAACCGTCTACGACTTTTATACACATATATATATATATGAGCCTCTTATTTGCTGATACTATTGATTATTTGTTACATTGACGAATTAATTTGCAATCGTAACAAATCGATCATTTTTTTAACAAATATCACATTTGCTCTCCCTTGATTTGTTCCTATAACAAAATCATTTCTCTCAGTGGCAGAAGTATATATATTTTCCTGCACACTCATCTCTCCGCGCCATTATGCATCTGCTCATGACCATCGCTCTGAAATATTGCCGCGTATTTCCGACACGTCCTGCATACAGATTGCCCCGGGAAAGGGAACCCGGTAGCAGGACTCCGATTCCGAGGCAGTTTGAAGTCGATTATCCCACGTTTTCTGAAAATTTCACTTTTCCCGCTCTAATTCGAGAAGCAACATTTCGTCATCCATTTTATATTGTCTATCTCATTCTCTAACTTCTATTTCTACCGATGATACAGCCATTAATCCTGAGCGGAAGCACTCCAGTCTTTCTTGGAAGTCCATTTTTTTTCCCTCTCGCGAAATTATCTGCGAGTGTTGTAATTGTAATGACGGAATAATTTAGATTAGATAGACATCGGTGTACCAATCGGGGAAAATCGGACACGAATCTGCCGACGACAGAATGGGGCCCCGTTACTCGCGTAACCCTTTTTCGCTAGGGTTTATAATAACACGCGACACTCACGCGTGCATCATCGAGACACATTGCTGTTTTACTTATCAATCAGGGGTGTAGCCGGTATCTTTGGGCTAGAGAAAGAAAATATTTCAGTGTAATCTCTCATATGAACTAAATATAACGTTGAATGAAATCCTGAAGAGGGAAACAGAATCCCTCTGTTTTACTCGGTTTTTACTTTATCGCTACACCCCTGTTATCAACAATGATATGTACCGTATACATTCTACCTAGTAGAACTATATATTGCTCAGCAGCGCACTCAGACCATCGTTATACCGTTCACTTACATTTCGCTCAAGCGCGGTGTTTTTCCGTTTTTTCTTTTCCTTTTTTTTCTTTTCGGCTAACTCTGACTTCTTCGCGCGCTTCTTTGGTTCTCTTCCGCCCTTCTTTCCGCCCCTCTTTCTTCGGCTTTTCTCGGGCTTCGCCACTGCTGTCTGCGTATACTACTTTCTCTTCCACACTGCATACTAATACTATCGTTACGATACTTACTTTCCGTCGTACCTCTTCTTCATATTTCCTTCGTCCTTCTTCCGGTTTCCTCAAATTATTAACCCTCGTTCCTCTCTTCCGCCTCTTCGAGATTTTTGCTCGAGCTCCCCGGGGTTTGCTGTGCGTCGCATGATTTTTGTACGTCGACACACACACACATTAAAATCAGATATTTATTATAAATATCGAGTAGCGTATTTTACATTTTGGGTACTTAGTGAGACAAGTCTACTCAGAAGTGAACTAAGGTGACAAATAATACAATTGAAAAAAGTTGAAATAAAGGTGTACATTATAATGTAGATTATAAATATAAATTAAATAATTAGACGAAAACTTTTCTAAGTCAGATAATTAATATAGTTACAAATTTTATATATATGTATGTATATTGAATCAGATTGAATCTTTACATTAACATGGAAGTAGATTTTAAGATGTCTAAGAAAATATAATTTTTTAATTTTAATTTCAGTATTTATGAAAAGGTCATTACTTGTTGATAAATTACTATAATAAATTTTGTAAGTTTTTTATATTCATAAAAGTGTTGAACTCATTCTGGTAAATATTAGATAATTAATTGAAATTATGATAATGAAAGGTATAACTGAATAAATGATTTAAATTTGATGATTGAAATAATTTATTAATCAATGTTGTCACTAATTAATTATACGTATTTAGGCAAAAAATTATACACTTTCGCGAACAAAAATCGTGCGACGCAGGCGCGGACCTTTACAAGAAACAGAGGAAAACAGAAACAAGCGGACAACAGACGTGGTCATGATGTTTCATGACACGCATGTCACAGCATCCGCGTAGCATTTCTCAGTCAACACGACGCGTGTAATCGTTTTTACACACATTACATATCCCTTCATCGAGATAAAGGTCGGAGACAACACGACAATAAGACGCAAAGCGAACAACCGCGAATCCGGCATCCGCTTTTTAGCCGAACGTGTATCGTTACCAGTTAAATCGGACACCCACTATACTCGTGTTACAAGGATATCGCTTACACATATTGTATTGTTAGTCTAGAATGAATATACTCCTACGCGCGTCTATATATAGAACTGTCTTTTAGGTAAACTTGTGTCCACTGTATAACGTAGTCAAATTCATGGGCACTACAGGGTGTCTCAAAACTCTTCTTATTTATCGTTTAACTGATTTAAATTGATTACTTAATTATATACTCGTTCACAATTTCTTAAAATAATCTATGACAAATTAAATTATGACAGGGCTGCTGGATTATATGTTCCGAAAATAAATGTTATGTAAAGTTTTATTATAAATAAATTTCAATTTGAAGATTATGGAAATGTAAATATTGAAATTAAAGTTTCATCTGTTATTTAAATATTTTTGTGAAATAATGAAGAAATGGCTTTGTCACAATAACCGAAGTACAAATTGCATTCCCAAGTTATTGTGGTATTTCATTTGAAATTCTGCAACACTTGCGAGTTAGTGTTCGAAATTGGATGCTCTAGATTTCGCCTAATTTTCATGGATCCCGTTTTGATCAATGCGTAGTTAGACAAGAGCTTTCGGGACACCCTGTACACTTAGTTGAAAGTTTCACCACCCACCAAGTGAGGAAGCAACTCACTGCACATATTCTCTAAGCACATAACAGAGCAACTCGCCCGATGCAGGAACGTCGAGCAAGGAAACTCTTCGCTTAACTGCAATTCGCGCTTTCGTTGCACTTCACTTTGTGCAGAGTTCGGGGGCTCTATCGAGCGGATGTTTTCCCTCTCACGAACAATCCTTTATCCCAGCTGATGGCACTCAGGAAACGTTGTCTTTTGTAGAAGAAAGATTGATGTTCTATAAAATATTATAAGAAGAAATACAATATTTTGTTCAAATTCCTCGGGAGTCGTTCTTTTTTATTTTATAACAATAAGAAATTCCTACATGCTTTTTCGCATTTTATGAGATATCCTTTAATCATGTGATTCAATAATAGATATCGATTCTGTATATTTCTGTACTTTCTATGATTATGAAATTTCACGAGCATTTTGTAACGTAAAATGAAATATATGATCAATTCTATCCATTCTTTTAATTGTTCACACATATATGTATATATAATATATATTTGTTTTTTGATACATTATCTGAGCTTTTAAACGAATGACCATTAGTTCATTGATCGAAGATAATAGATTCTATTAATATATCATTGACCTCCGCTCGATTGATCTCCCGTTTAGAATACGAAATTGAACGCAATCGCTTGAATGACGAAGGAAAGGGGCACCTGTGCTCTTGCAAACAAACGCGTGAAACCATGAAATCCCGAGAATAATCGAACTTGGAAATGCTTAATAAATTTTCATTTAAAAATGCGAAATTTTCACGTTTCGTTAAGTATCATAATATGTTGCTGAAGAAATGAGATGAGGAGCAAGTAGAAATTCGGAAGATTACAAAAAGGACGCTTCCTTCCTTCGGGCGAGAGTTCTAAGCGAATCCGCTTATCTCTCGAGAAGATTAAATTAGATAGCGAAAGAGGATTGGGCAATGTACCCGCGCTTTCGTTTGCCCTTTTAGCCGATGACCGCTTGATCACATTAGGCTGTTTATGTTCATGATGAAGATTCCCATAAGTTATGAGCTAGCTTGAAGTTGTATACTTTAACTCTTGGCGGCGGCTTTTATTCCGTGATCATCTTTACTTAAAAAAAAATAAATAAATATATTTATATATTTATATATTTATATTATATTTATATATTAAATAAATATATTCATGTATTTATTTTAATATGGAAAGATATAAATCAAATTCTAGAAATTAACATTGCAATAGAAATTAATCGAAATAAAATCTATAAAAAAATGAATACATTAATCTAATAAAAGATCTCTAATAATAAAATTGAGACAAATACAAAACTTTGAAAAATTAAAGTTTAAATAAAATGAAGTTAAAATCGAAACCTGCACCGCGAAGGGTTAAAGCTTTCTTTTTCTTATTTTACAGAAGCTTGATTATATCACGTAGAATACTTTTTTGCCAATAGAGAAGTGTCGCAGACACTCTCCAAGTCAGTTTTAGTTCGCGCTTTTGTAGAACGTTCGCTATGGCTTCTAATTAGAAGTAACGATCTTTCTCGCGTGGTTGCCCTTTCCCCTTCGTGTCTTCACGAACGAGAATCATCTTATCGCCAACTAACGTTACATTCCTGTGAAAAAACAGAACAGCTGGACCGAATTGAGGAGGGTATGGACCAGATTAACGCCGACATGAGAGAGGCTGAGAAAAATCTCACTGGAATGGAGAAGTGCTGCGGCCTTTGCGTTCTTCCCTGTAACAAGTACGACACAACTATTTTAGCGTATCTTACCTTTCTCCTTTTTAAGGAAGAAGAGCAACAGTGCTCTTCTTCCTTAAAAAAAAAAATCGAAAAAAATTCTCTGCATATTTAACCATCTCTGAAGTCTATCTGTATTAATAAGTTGCTTGATTAGACTTTACGAGCGCTGAGAAATAAATTTAACATTTCCATATTTAAGAGATTAATTTAGAAATTGAATAATTGAAGACATGTTAACTATTTGAGAAGAATATTAAGAAATTACTTTAATTTAATTTATATGGAAAATTTATATCTATGCTGAACTGTATAAAAATTAATAATATTAGAATTGAATTTTCACGAAGATTTTAACTGAAATTGATATATTGAAAAGAAGCCATTTAATACAATTTTTCAAAATGAGTAACTTGTCTATTAGTAATTTAAAGTTTAAAAGCAATTTAAAGTTTTGAAGTGCAAATTATAAAGTAGCGGAAATCTACAAAATTAGCGAAATTACTTTTATTGAACGTGACTTCTCAAGACCGACTTTCAAATTGATGTTTGCCGTTGTCTGCTGAATGTTAATCTTTTCTTCTTCCGAAACCGACTTAATCGCGTCGCTCGCGCGACAATTTTGCGCGTACAGAGGTGCCAGCTTCAAGGAAGACGAGGGTACGTGGAAGGGCAACGACGACGGTAAAGTTGTGAACAACCAGCCGCAACGGGTGATGGATGACCGCAACGGTATCGGGCCGCAGAGTGGCTACATCGCCAAGATCACAAATGACGCGCGCGAAACGGAGATGGAGGAGAACATGGGCCAGGTGAACACGATGATTGGCAACCTGAGGAACATGGCGATCGACATGGGCAGCGAGCTCGAGAATCAGAATCGGCAGATCGATAGGATCAACCGCAAGGTGAGTTGACAGCGAGTAATGGCGAATGAATGCGCACCACCGGCGTCCAAACGCTGCACCGCAGTCGACGCGCGACTTGGCATGGCTCTAAAGAAATCGCTCGGACGGCAATCCGCGTTCGTCTTACTCGTCGACATACATATTGCGAGCATTGATCGAGAAAAACGGGGCATCTTGGACAAATCTTGGACTTGGAGCAAGAATAGAGCGTCTAAAGCTTGGAGTTTCTACATTTATCTACTGCACTCTTCTTCTAAGTTCTTACACGGAAAAAATGGTTTTGCTGAAGTATCTAAAAATTTAGCTAAATATGTAAACGTGAAAATAATTTTTTTGGACAAAGTAATTATATGAAACGTTCAACCTTTTAGACTATCGAAGCCTTTTGTAACATTGCTCATCTTGTTTGAGTTTTTTATATAATTATTTTGATAGATCTACAAAATTATTTTCAGATCTGTACCTGAATTTTTAGATACTCCAGGAAATTTTTTTTGTATGATTAATGAAGATTAACAAATTGTTTCATATAAAATTCTTGAAAGATTTGTAGTTAAGATTGAAAAATGGACGCTGGATTTTCTTGATTAGCTACGCTATTGTCATTTGATACAGAAGACTTAATGTGTCTTTTTAATTCACGAACCAATTTTACTTTTAGATTAATGATGTTCTCTATATTTAAGACGCTTTATATCACCAAGGTTGTAGGGCTATCATTAAGATTGTAGGTTGGTAAACTTTAAAGTATCAAATGATAGCCTTCGAGACGTAATCCAGTATGTCGATGAGATTACTGAAGTCCAATGCACACTGCGAACAGTATTATTAGCAAATATCGAACTAATAGCAAATTATTTTGAGAAATTTTAATTAAAATAATTTGGAAAATTGGAAAATTGAAAATCCATTTTAAATACAAATCTAAAAGTTTGAAAACTAGCACTTAGAATTCATGAATTTTATTAGTCAAAAGTATATATTCTAGTATATTTTCAATTAACTTCTCTAAATTTTTTAATTGAACTCATAAATTCTTCAAATCTATTAATTTAAAATGTGAAATGATTATTAATTAGATTGAATCTTTAGTTAAATCGTGGAGACGTTGAATTTTTTGTAGAAAAACATTAATTCACAATTTAATATTTATAATATTTTTTTTTATTTTTAATATTTGTATTTGTTTGAATTATGTGTGTTTATAATGGACGTGCACAAAAGATAAATTTAATTAGACGCAAATTAATGCCACGGTCTGAAAGATGATCGGTGCAACTTCACTATTTGTACGTGTGTATTAGACTACTGTAGGATGAGCTGACACGTGTCTCAATATAGATATGCGCGAATTTATGTCACAATGCACAGGCTCAGAGCGATGCACATCACGTTCGTCGTCGCTTTCGCTTTCTTGTATGTCTTTCCTTCCTTCCTTTCTTCCTTCCTTCCTTCTTTCATCCTGTTCTCCCTATTTTTATATTTCACGTAATCCCAATCCGGGCAGGTATCCCGATGATGTCTATCGTCGCTTTCTGCGTCTTTTCTTCTAAAGACAAGAATGTCTAAAAAGCAACGTAATATGCACTATGTCTAAGCCTTCCGATTTATTCAACTTTCATTCAATTTATTCAATTTTCGATAGCGCAATTTGAATCTTAAACAATATACAAATATCTTAAATATATAAGTAATGAATAATCAATTTAAAAGAAAAACGTAAATTTAAAAGCTAGATTTGTTCTTTAAATAAGAGATGTAATTATTCGGAAAGAAATTTTATTATTAACCCTCCACAATATAAATTTTAACTCTTTGGTTAATAATAGGAATTTTCGAGAAACAGAGCAAATTTTTATTGTACTGGATTATGTAAAAATCTGAAAAAATTTTGCTATATAAACGAATTGACAAGCAATTGAGAGCAAAAAAGATGCAGTTATTAAAGCGTTACAATTAAATATATTTCTTAAAAACTTTACATATGATTTGACAAATCGGACGTGGGAATTGAAGAGACTTTCTCGGCTGCTTTCTTGGACCTAATTATTGTGAACTACTTTTAAATTTATTATTTGGACATCGCTGAGGATGGCTCGAACTGAGCTGAAACGTCCGATTTTGTCAAATCATATGTAAGATCTCTAAGAAATATATTTATTAATTGTAACAATCTAATAACTACGCCTTTTTGCTTTCAATTGCCTGTCAATTAATTTATATTTATTTGTTATCTCGAGAGCTTAATGTATTTTATTTTATGTTTATACATCTCATACTTATCAAAGCTTTAACAACGAGCTTTTGACATCATAGAAGTCGGATCATATTTTACTTATTTCTTGCAGATTTATATTTATTTAAAATTTACAACCTAAATATCGATGGTACCTTCAAAGATTCCGGTAAAGAATTAATTATATCGAGTTTCATGTAGGAGGCACAGAGATCAAATAATGAATTTATAATATTCTTAATTGAGCCCGAAGTAAATGCCTTTGCTCTTTTGAATTAAAATTCCAACGTGATCGAAATTACGATTTGTGAAAATTTTAAAATTGATTCTAGAGCTCCATGAAATTCCAATAAACTCGAAATTGCATGCTCACGCACGTGCATCGCACAATATTAGTCGCCACGATATGCGCCCCCTTAAATAGCGCCGTCTTAAATATCGCGCCCTTATTCCACGGCTCCTCGCTGAAATTCTCTGGGCACTCTCCGCCCTACTCGTCGATCATCCCTTCAGCACAGCCTGCCTTCAGTGTTCTTGTACGTAATTATTGCACCATCCACGCTCCAGATTTATCTGTCCTTCTCTTTTTATTCTTTCTCTTTCTATTTCTTTTTCATGAAAATCTTTATCATGATATTTTAGGGACTATGATATTTTTTCATAAGTTTTCAATACGTTGTAAAATCATATTGTATATCACTAACAAATCAAAATAAAGTTTTTTATTTGACTCAAAAATAGATCAGAGAAAAATGTTAAATTTTATTTTATTTGTCCAAAAACATTGGCACAATTAAATCTCTTTAATTGTTTAATTAGATATTTTTGAAATTATTAGGTGTTGGAATTAATTCGTAGCGTTTTACAAGTGATGGGAAGTACTTTCATTAATGTATTTTTTAATGCTCATGTGAAATAAATAACATTCTTTCATTAAAAACGCTACGAATTAATTCCAACACCTAATAAAATGATTTATATTATAAAATATTTACGTTAAAGACATGAACTAGTTTGTGCAAATAAATAAATAAAATATAAAAAAATAAAATAACAAATAAGCATAAATAAAACAATTTTATTAATATTCTTTTTTTCTTAAATAAGAATAGTTGAGAATTTGTGACCAGTTATGTCTAAATTTTTATTATCATAGTTCCTTTTAGTAGATTCTAGACAAAAGGAGACAGAATTATCTGACCGTAAAAAGATTCTCGAACGAACAATACGTATTTATAACTTACGGTGACTGTATTCAATAATTATCTGTCATTACTTACTATAACACGCTGCTATTGAACTTGCGATCGATCTTGTCATAGGACTCATATTTATCGCATATATGATATCTTGCAACGTTTAACATTAACCCGAATTAAACGCGCTATCAATAATCGATATTTGGATATATCAACATTTTCCTTTCAACCTTCGATATTTATTCAGACTAAATTTATCATCGAGCTATTTCTTTCGCTTTCTTCTACTTATTCCTTTTTCTTCTTATTAGCAGCTCTACGCTATCTTTTCTTTTCTTTAATTCTAAGATTAACATTACTCTTTTTCTATCAACATTCTTTCTTCAATCACATTGTAGACGACAAGTATTGATCGTTTGAGAATCTTTGACCCTTTAAAGGCCATACGTTTTAAAGTATAAATGTAATTTTGGAAATTTATTAATTTTTTATCTTGCTTGTAATCCACATATAATTCATGTTAATTTCGAAACCTCATCCGAAGAAGGATATGGTCTTTAACGGGATATCATAGTGGTGTACAATCTCGAACAGTCCGTGATTAATTAATAGAAGATTTATAGACAAGTTGGAGACGGCAAACAAGCGAGAGAGATCCAATCGAGTATTAACTTTTCATGATTGGCATCGGAATTCGATTGATTCGTTTTAAATATAATTCATGCAACCTTATACGATGTATATAACATTAGTTATCGATCGTATCGCTATATAGCGACCAGCTGACGATTTTTCGTAACCGACAAGCATGGCAAAGCTTGTTACAGTCCAGTCGAGCAGGATATAGACACAGTATCGAGGGGGTTGCGAAACCGCAAGACTTGAGTTAATGCCACGAGAGATTGTGCACCACTCACCGGTGAACTTAAGCCGCACAATCACACGCCCAACACACACACACACACACATCTCTGTGACCGAAACCCAAACTGATAATCCGCAGGGCGAGTCGAATGAAACGAGGATAGCCGTGGCGAATCAACGTGCGCACGCCCTGCTCAAGTAAAATGCGTCTTCTCTCTGTCTCCACGTGTCCGCCTCCTCCGAGCCCCAAGTTGCACATCGAGACGTCGTCTCGAGCAAAAAAAAGAAAAGAAATGGAGATTATACGCGTGTACTTGTGTGTATTATACATGTAGAGAGGCCTGACACACATGATCTCGGGGCTGGGATTATTCGGGCATGAATAAAGTTGTAATCACACCAAGTTGCCGATTGTGGTACATGGCATAATATTTATTTACTGATTCCTCTGAAGGTACATAAAAAAACTTAAGGCAGTAAGTAACGTAAGCAATAAGGAAATCAACATGGATTGGCTACTGCTTACGTTATGGCCTTACGGACTCTACCGTGATTGGTTAATTCGCTTACTGTTTCTACAATGTGCTTTTTGTTTCCTGTTTCTTGCTTTTTACCTTTTGCTTTTTTTCCTCTTTGTGATCGTTTTATCAACAATTATATTTCTTGATATATGTTTCCTGTTTCTTCTGAAGTTCGTTAACGTTTATCTCGAGCAACAGAAAATGAAAAATGGGGGCAAAAAGGCAAGACACAATAAATAGCAACAAGCAAGAAACAGGAAACAAAAAGCACATTGTAGAACAGGCTTTAGGGTTACGAAAAAAAGAAACAAGCTCTCAAAAAAAAAATCCGCACAATATTCCATAATACAATTAAAAAATAAAAAAGTATACATGACTTAGATTGGAATTGACGATTATTTTTCAACCAGTCAGAGCAAAGCAGTCACCGATTGCTTTGCTTTGATTAGTTGAAAAGTAATCGCCAATTGCAATCACAATTGCAATCCAATCGGCAATTGGTAGTGTAATTACGGTAGACGTTAAGTGCTAAATTACAAAATCCACGCGCTTAGGTATCAGTTACCGGATTACTTGAGTGTTGATTTGTCAAATAGATTAACGCATAGTGACATTGTATACGCGCGCGAATATTAAGCGATTACCGGGAGTTATATCGCCATACGTCTGAATAAATTGTAATAATAATTTATTGGAATAGTCGGGGGTGCGATAATATTGCAATTGGCTCATACTTAATCGCTGAAACGTTGGAATATCGAATTAATCGAATACTCCCAGCTCTGCGAACGAGTCTCCCGTCTATCTCCCGTTCTCTCTTTGCTGTTTTCTCGTCGTCACCCGGGCAATCCGATTCCGCTAGCAACCTGTGCAACAACGGAAAACTACCACCACCAAATAACTCTCTACCACTTCTACTACTTCTATCACCATTACTAAGCTTTTCGTCGATATACGACGATATACAGTGAACAACCGCTCGATAGTCGCGGTACACGAAAGAGCTTCTTGGTAAGAATGGCCGATCTAATATTTGCACAGCCGCATTACGCGAGGAATATAATCTTGCCCAGTAGGGCCAGGAATACACTCTTGCGAAAAATCTTTGTCTTTCACGAATAAAAAGCTACGAGTGTCTCGGTTTTTTTTGTGTGTGTTAGAGAAAGATCGATTCCAGATACGTCGAAAAAAATGTGCTAAATTGCACCTCGTGTACTTGAGCTTTCTCTTCTGGAATCATCAGAAGGGAATTTGTGTTTTTTTTATTGATTAATAATTGTCAATGGAGCTTTTACAAAAATGGAGTGAGATTTGATTTCTTACAATTAGCATAAAAAATACGGAATTCTTTTTCATTTTTATAAACTGTAAAATTATGAAAAAATTGATAACTGTAACCGTCGTCATTATTTTTTTATATTAATGAAATATTGTGCCGACTTCCCACTTTCAGAAATCCATTGAATTGGTCTGTTAACTCAATACTGTGGCAATAAGCTAATTGCTTTTTAATTGATTATGACCTTCATAAATTCCATTCTTTAAAGATAATTCTGGACGATTCGTAAATTGTACTGTTGTATTGTGTATCGATGGAAATTTTATTTCGGCCAACAGAAGTGGTGTGCTGCGGCTACCGCGAGCGGTAAAAGCATCGCACTGGGATGTGTCATCGCTCCCTGTACACACGTTGTTAAGGTCCATCACACGTACTGTCACTCTCGTTGTGATTGTGTCACGAACGAACGTCGCCGACGACGGCAACGGAATGCCTCTCGTTGATCCCTTTGAACGACCCCGTGTCAGAACCGCACCGTTCTCGACCAGCTTTCGCTCCAATGCCTCCTCGGGGTCGATCGGGTTAACACGCTTGACACGTGGCGGAAGAGCAGCATGCGAATTTCATCTTTCCCGGTGGTTCGCGTGGATTTCGCCGATATGTCAGGGCCGTATCGACTATTAGCCCTGCACGATGTATGCAGAGACATGAGAATGAGCTTCGGGATTCTTGGAGAATTTTCTGCGTAACTTTTGGCTCATAGTGTCTTTCGTAGAAATTCTATAACCGAGTCTAATCACGAGCGATTTTGTCAAAATTTGTCTCTGTATTAAAAATGACCCACTCACATCTCTGTTAAAATTTTACGTTGAATTTTTAACATATTCAAGTGTTAATTTAACGTCATTATAACGTCATTAACGCGATTTAATGTAATTATGGTTTTGTCTGTTTTAAATTGATATTTAACATTTCTTAGTTAGTGTCAAAATAACAATTTATGAATAAATAAATAATATAAAAATAGTGTACTTTAATATGTAAATTCCACGTGAATAAAATAAGATTTAATTTAACATGTTATAAATGTTAATTTTACTTAAAAAAAAAATACTTTCGCAATTTGCTTACAAACTATGTCAGTATTTTTGTGTTAATTTATTTACATAATATTTGTTTACATATTACTTGTATTACACATTCATTTCCTGTTAAATTAATGCAATTTGAGTGGACCGTTTGGGACATATGAAACGTGTTAAATTTAACACAAATTTTCCGACTGCGTAATACCGACTGTATATATACTATCTCACTTTAATTTATACTATCTCATTTTATAATCTTAATTAAGGTTAAAGTGTAATAGTATAAGTTAGAGTGAAACAGTCTGTATACAGAGAGACATTATACAATATATATATATATATACACCTTTCTCTCCCGTAAAATTTTGATAAGATCTCTCATGGTTAGACTCTGTTATAGGGTCTCTAATCTTGGGTACATTCAAATTCCCACCTGAGAACTCCCCAGGTTCATATTCTTCTTGTTTCACATTCATGTAAACAACAAGAATAAAATAATACCTGAATGGCATTTAAATGGGAATTTGAATGTACACTGAAAAAAATGTTTCGTTGAAACTGAACAAATCAGAAGATTCTAATTAAATCAAAATTATCTGGTTTGTTCATCTTCAACCAAATATTTTCAGTGTAGCCTTATCGCGAATTAAAGAAAGAAAAGAGATTACTGTCGCGAAACTTATTGCTTATTTAAAGTAAAATAAAAAATAAATCTCGCTATAATGATTCGACGTGATTCACGAAGACTTTTGTTGGAATAGTAGAAAAATGCCGAGTCAATTTATAAATTGGAATCTGCGGTCAAAAATGGAACAATCTATTCTTGCTGTCGCAGCGAAACCAACACCGCTTCAGTAATGGAATCGATTTATTATGGCGAAACAATCCGCGAATTCAGCGAAACAATTTTCGAATCAGATTCTTCTTAATCAAGTTATTTCACTTGTTTACGTGGTGGATAACATTGACGAAATTCTCTGCGACAGCACGAAAATATTCCGCATTAAATTAACGTTCCACAATCGATACTTGTTTCCTCCTGCAATACGAAAGCGCGTCGACGTTACAAGTGAAATATTCCAAGAATCTTTTAAGCAGTCCTTAAGCAATCAGTATTATTGCTTAATAATTAATATTACACAATATTATTGGTAAACTATATTGAACTTTCAGACTGCTGGTTTGAATTGTTAAAAATATTATATCAATAATATTGCACAAAATAATTGTACAATAAAGAGTCAATTCTCTTATGCCCATTTCCATCAACGTAGATTAACTTTAATCTCGATTCAACTTACTTTTCGTTTTTTTCTAATCTTTAGAACTAGAAAAAGACAAAGAGTAAGTTGAAAGAGATTAAAGTTAATCTATGTTGGTGGAAAGTAGGCAGTAATGTTACAAATGCTTCGATCATTTGTAAGATCAAGTAGATTGTAGTCGATATTGAGCGTCTAGGGACAGCTTTAGCTCCTGTGGCCACCACACGTAAAACAATTTTTATTCATAATCACAAGAATCAAAAGTTTACGTTTAGAATACGCGATCATTGGTTGGTACACTGAAAAAAAAATTTATTAAATTTTAATAATATTTCTTTGAATAGAGTACTAAGTAAACATCTATTTACAGTAAATAAATCAATAAAATTTAGCCGATAAAAAATTATAAATAAATCAAATTAATGGCTTTTGTATCAAATAAATATACATGTTTACATTTAGTAAAATATTTAATTAGAAATATTCAAACAAATATTTATTAAAATTAAGTTTTTTTTTTTTTTTAAGACTGTACGTTACAGTCTTACGACAAAAATTTTTTGACGTGTGACGGTCTTAAGGTTCCCAGAAGAAAAAAAAAATCACGTTCCGCAGAGTTGAGAAACTTCGAGCGGTTCCGATCCCCGGAAGCCTCGATCCGCAACCGCCGGTTCTCGACGTTCGCAGCTCGCGCATACGACATTGTGTTCTTGTTTTTTCTTGTTCTTTGACACGCAGGGCGAATCGAACGAGACGAGGATACAGGTGGCCAACGAGCGAGCCCACCAGCTACTCAAGTAAAGCGGCTACACTTTCTGTCGACCATCTGCACCCCGTCGGCCGCCCACGAGCGTCACTATCATCACCCTCCACCAACAACAACAACAACAACAATAACAACAACACAACAGCAACAACATCAACACCAACAACAGTCAGTACAATTACACTCGACAAGTCCACTCGATCGTTTTGCTCGCGATTTATCGCGTTTCGTTTGTTAGAACGTTGTTTCTCTGTTCACGTTTACCGATACCTTTCGTGTTTGGTATCGTCGAAACATGATATAATATACTTAATGAAAATACTTAACCCTAAACTTGACTGATAGAGTCCGTAAAGTTAATTAGAATTTTGTAATATTCTTTTTCTTTCGAAGTAAGGGACCGTGTGAATCGCATAGTCATAAGCATCTAAAAATCATTGCAAAGATATGTAAAGAGGACTTGCGACCTCCTAATATCGTCTTTCGAACATTTAACGCAGTTTCTCTTCTAAAACATTGTAGATATTAAATTAGAATACGCTCCGCGATCGATGCGGCCGATGAAATCGACGAGAAAGAAAAATAAACGCTGAATTTGTTTGTCGTACTGGTGAGTATCTGCTGCATTTCCTTCGTATAATGTAATTTTCGATTTTCACTTCTTTAGCTTTTGCAAGTTTAGGGTTAATATACGCCGAAATAGATTCATATATATATTACAGATTCGGAGATTGAGTTTGATTTTCGGTTTGACTTTAGCGTGTAAGGTAGATTTCTGATTTTTATCAAAAACATCCAATCTAATTTATTATCAAACTTTAATTTAGTCCCTGTTCTGCAACCGTAAATTAGATTTAATCTCCGAGACGGGCTTTTTTGTCTTTACAATGGCAATAATCCGCCGACGAAGAGCTTCGATGATTCGAGGTGTCAGTGCCGCTAATCGGTCATCAAAGCTGGATTAAAAACGGATCTCTAACTTAAGATTGTCGGAGTAATCTCATACCGAATCACAACGAAGAAGCCGATGGAATTTTTTTCTAGCGTGGCAAAAGCGTCGAATTTGTCGCGTAGTTTAAAAAAAAAAACGGAGCTGAAATTCAATCTCCGGTTCGGGAACGAGTAGCTTCGTTCTCTTTACCGGCAGAGTTAGCGCGTTGAACGATATTGGAATTTAAATAAACATAAATAATAATACATGTATATTATATATATATTACTTCTCGTTAGTCATACACATTACACGTACACGAACCGGGGAGATTATATGCACAAAAAAAAAATGCAGCGATTAATTCAATTCTCTCGGTTTAATCGACTCTAGAGAGTCGGGATTTGTATTGGAAACGCGAGAAACAAACGGAGAAAAAAAAAAGAGGAAGGAAACATGATAATAGTACAAAAATTACTACACTTATCTCTCGTTAGGAAAAGAGATTTCGAGTACAATTTATTTATTTGTCTTATCATGTATTGCCGCTCTCCGCGATTATAACTTGCGCTTGAAGATCACACTCGGAACGTGTCAGCGATATTGTCTACAAGCGAAAGAAGCAACACCCTAATCTCCCTCTCCCTCGAGTCTCCCCCGAAACGCAGGGGGTGGACCTCGCTGTTTCCCCCCCCCTGATCGACAAATGCGCATTCCCGAGATCGATATCGAATAATTTCGCGAATAGTTTCGCAAATTTCGAGGGTGTTCGCGTGCGAAAAGTACGCGGAGAGATCGCGGCGACACTTGGAGGAGGAAGGGAGTGGAATCGCGAGCGATGGAAGACGAGGGAGCAGAACGAGATGGAAGAAGAGGAAGGATAAATAGAAGAAGAAGAGGAAGAAGAAAAGGAGGACTTACATAGCGAGATAACCGAAGCAACGAAGAGAACGCGTTCAGCCGTACGATTATTAGGAGCCAGCTGAAGCTGTAGATAGAGCGAGGTCTTCTTTCGTCGTTTAAAAATAAAAAAAAAAAGCTCGACTCGCACTCGACAACGTAGAACATAGGTGTTACTCTCCCTTGCCCCCCTATCCAGTCCAGCTCACCCCGCCCTATCCCCTAATTCTCCCCTTTTGCGCCAATCGCGCCGAGATCACAGTAAGGTTTAACTCCAAAGAAAGATTGTACATTACTGTATTTACACGAGGGCGATCTAGGTACCTACTTTGTTAAATTATACAATGAGGAGTCGGTAGAGAAGCATGACGCGGCTCGAGAATCGATATCCGTCGGTGATTCTGGGACGACCGTCGTGATCCTGGGGGGTGAATCTTCGTGACCTTACTGTATAAAACAGCGAGAGATAGCGAGAGAAGTCCTTGCGTAGTGAATTTCTTGGACAATTTTTAAGGGGGTGTACAGCACAAGTTGTAGTATTCATCAACGATTTTGTAAATTGCTAATTCATCAATTTCGCCATGAATTACGAGATCTGAAAATCATCAAAGTCCTCGCACCCATTGCGACCTCTTGTCCTTTCTAGCGCTGCACTTTACGAAATGTCGAGAGAACTGATTGATTTACAGTTTCGAGGTAGAAGTTAATTGACGCTGTGGGGACACCTCGTTTCCGAATCGCGGAAGAAAGGAAGCATTTTCGGGTAAAAAAATCATAAAATAGCCAACGGGTGTCGGTCTCGAGCGCGGTCATGGACCGAGCAAAAATAACTGCGTAGCCTTTTCGATTTCGCTTGTCCTTTGCTTTCTCTCGGAGAGGGAAATAAAACGCCCTTCGAACGCTTCGCCGGACGAACTACAAGAGGAATGAAAGGGTTTGTACGAATTTTGAGAATGAAAGAGAGAGAGAGAGAGAGAGAGATGAAGAACGAAAAGTAAAAGTGCGTGTGAGAGTGAGAGAGAGAGATTGTGCGACGCGAGATCATTAGGCCTATAGTGTATCACTTAGGTCGAGAGAGATTTTAAATAATTATAAATAGATGTGGGTGCGTGATGTATGTACTCGAACTAACCCATCTCTATCGCACTGTTCTTTAACGATGGATCCCTTGGCCAGTCCGGAGACAACTCTTTCTCAACGAAGATGTTCACCGATAACTTTCGAAAGACGTACAATATTGGAAAGTTGCCGATGAAGTTTCTTGATTGAGGAGAAAACCGACTCTAAATCGGTTAGAGAATCCAATGCAACGTGGCGGACATGGGACGGTCCGGTGTGCATACATCATTTACTTGCATATATAAATATATATATATAAATATACATATATTTATGCATATGTATACATGAGAGAGAGAGAGAGAGAGAGAGAGAGAGAGAGAGAAAGAGCGGAGAGTATCTTTATTACATATTATACATATTATACATATATAAATGAACGAGTAAAAAATAGATATAAATATATACATACGTATAAATATTATAAATATAATACGGGATCGGGCAATATTGTACTTGTTAAATTCATCGTTACTGTTTATCACCGCCTATTGCGAGATTACGTACTTATTTTACGAGTATTATTCCTCTCATCCCTCTTTCCCGACCCCTCCTCCCTTTATCCCGACGATTAAGTCATATCGAATCTGCAGATCTATGTGATACATTTTAAACACCTACTCACACAAACGTACACACAAATAATGTATAGATTACAGGCAATTAGGTAGATAGATTACTAAGGATATGACGATTAAAGAAAAATAAAACTAACGGAGTGAAAAGGATGAGGTAAAAAAGTAAAAAGAGTGCGTATGTGCGTTGCGAGAGTGAAAGTGAGAGAGAGAGAAAGCGAGAGAGAAAGAGAGCGAAAGAAAGATCTTACGCGAATGAGAGTAACGACGTGAGGGATGAAGAGCGCGTGAAAAGTGGAGGAAACCCGGAATTTAAGATAAAAATCATGCTCTTTGTAAAAGCGCAGAGTGTCCTGGGGTTGTCGAAAGTGCTTAGCCTCAGTATTGATCAGGCTGAAGGAAAATGTTTGCTTTGAAATACAATCTTGCGCTCGAAGTAATTTCCTAACATTTGAAATTATTAAATTTCAATGAAAATTTCTCGGTAAATTTGGTCTCAAGGATAAGATGAAAGAATTTATTTTGCGCTAGAAATTAATCCTAGAATTAGTATTTAATCATTTTGGATCAAGTTCATTTCAGGATCGAGTTTTAAACAACTCGTCGATTTACTCGTTTTCGCTTTGGAATATCCAGGATATTCGTTCGCTTCGAGACACGTCAGGTAAAAATTGACGAGTCAATAATAACGCGGATGATTATCTGAAATTAGAACGAGACCTTCAACCGGAGAGCTGACAGATCGACAGATCCGGAGGCACTCTGCGTACGAATACGGAAACAATTCCATATTTCCTAAACGACAATTACGTACCTTGACATAATTAATCGCATCGACAGTTAATAACGTTAAAGGAGATCGAAAGAGCTTCAGCGGAACTGCCGGCAATGTGATATGCGGCCTCATTTGCGACTAGAGGCGTAAAATTTTTGGGAATCGATGCTGTGGCACGAGATCGAATCCAACTTTTACATCCGATCGGCGCCAGAATCTGCACGTTTCAATAATATACTCTTATATTAACTAAACAATATTTTTTTTCTTTCTTAGTTATTACTTCAACGTCTCGATGAGACTTTGAAGTGTCTGGGGAAAAAAAAAAAAGAAAAATTTGTAGCACTTTCTCTTCTTCGATCTTTGATCTCGTAAACTTCATGAAATGATAACTGATTCGAAGTACTGATTTCGCGATCGAGCCGTTAGGACTCGTTCCATTGATTGATTCCCGCTTCGGAAACGTGCGTGGAGGTGCGAGCCACCTCCTCGTGTACTTATACGAGTGCGAAAGACAAATGTACTTGGGACCACCGTGCAGACGTGCAAGGTGTGATGGAGGGCTTATCCTCGAGGCATTCGTGCAATTCGTACATACAGTAGAACGACGACGAATGTAAGACTGGCGAGGACGATGAATGAAGATCGCGGCGCATGGGAAACGCATTTGTAAATTGTAAAGTTACTGATGTAAGCAGGGAAAAAGACGGGACACGAGACCAGCTTCTCTCTTTTTAGTACCGATTATAATGTCGCTAGATGTTATTTACGATACCGTCGTATTAAAAAAGGAAAAAAAGTTTTACTCCTCGGCAGTATCATTATAACAAATGCCTGTGTATTTTACTTCTTGGCAAATAATAAACCATTTAAGTATTAAATACATCGTCCCGATTCCTTCGTTCGATCTCCCGCGGAATTCATCGTTTTGTCTAAACCAAAAGAATGAGAAAAGAACTATCAACGGATAAGAACTTTGAAATTCAATCACGTTATCGAAAAATTTTTACAGCGTGACAAGTCGTCTTCTGATAAGGATCCGCTTTCCGGTAACGATCTTATCATATTTGAGTTTGAAAGTACGCGCATTCACAGAAAAATATTTTATGCATCTGATATCTAATCTAATCTATTAGGTGTTGGAATTAATTCGTAGCGTTTTACAAGTGATGGGAAGTACTTTCATTAATGTATTTTTTAATGCTCATGTGAAATAAATAACATTCTTTCATTAAAAAACGCTACGAATTAATTCCAACACCTAATAAGTAAATATTACATTGCTATTATGTAATAGTAACGGAATTATTCCAGAGATTTTGCAAGAATTTCAGGATCTAAAAAGGAAAATGAGGCAACAATAATAATGGAATAATGGAATATTAATTTGTTATTTTCCGGTCATATCACTTACATTAGATTAACTCATTTATAATAGATAATAAAAACGCACAAGCGTTTCAATGCGTGTAAATTAGAAAGATTTATTTTATAAATCTACAGACACAACAAATGTGTTATTATATAATCAATCATAATATAAAGAATTATAAATATTCTTGTGGAACGATTAATTGATTAACATAGAGGTATTCATCTTACATAATGCATTTGCTTTTCTTCTCTTATAATAAAGAATAATCGCGTTTCACCGAATAATAGAAATGATCTAATTAGATCAGAAAGTGCACTTCAAGAAAATATAGAAAATATACATTACAATACTTAAATTAAATGCGTACACTTATAAATTTTAAACAAAAATTTCACTTTAATGAAACGTATCTGATGAAATCTAATTGGAATCCAATTTCTCAATGTGCACCAGCTTGGAGACTCTGTCTATTAGATGTGTCAGGTAAGTCTTATAATTTACAGGTGCGACTGACGAACATACATGTTTTATTCTCATTTCATCCTGAGAAACGTAGAAATTATTTTAAAAAATAGTATTAAAAAATAATATGAAATAGCATTGAAAATAAAATTAACTTGGAATACGATAATAATAAAAGATAGAATGGACAATTATTGGTGAAAATTAGCAGAAAGAACTGCAAAAGAAATCTTATTAATAATAAATTGTATTAATTACCTGGAAAACTTCGGATTTCGCCCTTAAAGTGAATATGAACTTCTTGAAGCTCGCCTCGCCGAATTTTTGCAAAAAGGCATCATTATCGTTCTCTTTCAATTCTCCCAACTCTTGTGCCGACATTCCTAATATTTTCTCAGCATCTTCACTAAAAGCAGTTATCCAGCGACTGCCTGTTGCATCCACTATATTCATCTGAAAATTATTATAATAATAAACCAAAAAGATATCAGAAAATACTTTCAAATATAATGAATAAAAAGGATGCGAAGATAATACATACACTTGCCAGTAAGCGATAAATGGAATTTGGGTAATCTTTGTTACATTTCTCGCATCTAAAGACTCCAGTAGATTGATCGATCAACTGAAATTTCATTAACTCACATTGAAGCTTGGAAATATAACAAAATTTTTTTCCCATAAATATATCGTACTCTGTTTACCTTTTTCTTACAACTTTCTACCGGACACGCCTTATAGATAGCATTTTCCACACGGATCATATTAATAGTTGCCACCACCGTAAACGAATCTGCAAGATTCATTTTCTCTCCCAATCGAGCTTCAGTCGCTTCTTCAAAAGTATATAATGGCGCGTTGAAATCACCACCTCCGCCTGTTTTAGACAATGATTTTATGTTCTCCGAATGACCAACTGCAGTGTACCATCCGCGCAATCTGAAATATACATTGTAATACATTATATAAATGGTATATTACTAACCTTATGTAACTATATATCTCCAAGCAGAAATTAATAAAAAAAAATTGTTAAAAATTACATACAGATAAAAAATAAGGCCATTTATCTCTAGTATGAATAAATTTTAATTGTAATTAAAAAGTTAAAAGTATTATCTTAATTAAGAATCAGTTTGAATATACCTGTGTGCTTCAGGAAGATCAGGATCCTTTTCAAATACAGAGGAATGTAAAAGAGACAAGTTCTTTCCACCATTAAATTCACCCACGCGCGCTCCCTTAATGGCTATGATCGGATTATTCGAACCATCAAAGTCTTCGGCCTGCTTACCCCATAATGTAACACATACCTAACAGAAAATTCATTTATTTCTGCCCAAAACAGCAAAATTTTAAAATCTGACGTGTCAATAAATTACTCACCATCGTACCACTGTCATCAACGATATTAATGTCTCTCTTCAAAAGTTCTCGGCCAGTAGTTCGCTGTATAATTTGTTGTACATCGTTAAAAGTTGTAACAACACCCAAGACATCTATTATGTGTGAACATATTAAATAATTTTCAAATTACATATAAATCTTTTTTTTTCTCATATAAAATTTAAGATTATTATTTATTACAAGTATGTAGTAAAACTTTAATACAAAGCAATTATTAATTGATACTTAAATAATTTTAGAAATAAGATAAAAACGAATAACAAAATGCAAAGTAATATAAATGTTAACAATATATATATATTAATATATAGAAAATTATTAAGAATAAATATAATGACAAAAAAATTATTTCATTGATGAAACTAATGTTTAAGATTTAACAAAACATTAACTGTTAAATATTACATTACCTAAACATTACAAAACATTAACTGTAAAAATATTACATTACCTAATAGGTCATTTTTCTCTTTGCTTTCTATTTGACTTATGGGACAGAAGTCAAACTGTAATGTTGGAATATCATCGCTGTTTTCGTGGCAAGGTATGATCTCCGTATCGCCAGTCATAGTCATCTCATAATCATTTTTCAATGTGCAAAATTGTTTGTTCGCCGCCTTCAGTGTGCACCGTGAGATATAATATACATTTCCAGTCTACATAAACAAAACGATCAATAGTTTTTCATCCATTAGAAAAAAATTTTCATCCGTAGAAAAAAATTTGCATTGCTAATTTTAGTAGATTTTAGTGCAAAAAACATACCTCTATCATGTCGTAAAACTTTTCACATTGATCTCTAAATGCAGTGCATCGAATTTCGCCACTTTCATCAATCAGATCCATGGAGAAGAGCTTACCTTCTCCACGGGAGTTGCTCCATGTTTTGATCGGAGATTTATTAGTCACACGAACCTTGATCACCCATCTATTAAACACATATTATCATTATTCTTTTTTCTTCAGCATCACACATGTATAAAATATATTTTGACATCTAGGAAATCTACGTCTATTTTCTAAACTTTAAAATACATTTTTGAAATTTCAAATAAATAATATTTAATATTTGGTTAAGGAAAGAAAGTTTTAATGCAGAGTTGAATGCAAGAATAAAAAACAGATCCATAGTTTACATAGAATCGAACTTTCTCTCTTTTTTTCTTTCTCACTTGTTTTGGTAAGGGCTTAATGCTGCGATTGGTGTAGTATATATGTCAGAAGAAGGTTGATAATTTGAAGTAGCATTTCTGGCTGAACCATCTATAAATAACAAAAATTTTGTTACATACCAAAATATCACAAATCCAAGTTGATTGACAATTTATTCCAATACAGTTGACACTCAACGATATACTTACTTTGGTAATGTGAAGTTGTGGCCTTAGATGTACATGTAGACGTAGACGTAGATGTAGATTCAGGCTCTGACTTCATTTCTATATTAGTCGGATTACCTATTTTGTTTCCAACTTGATCGCCAGGAACCAACACTTCAATACCCAGTATCAACATAACGCGTCTAATAGAATAAAATTTGATTCTTGAATTATTTATATATTTAAATATATAAATAAGAAGGTGAAACAATACTTTTCTTTGCCACTGTTATTCACTGAACTCATGTGATAATTGGTTATTTTACAGATCGCAAAATCATTCAAAATGTTCTCTGTGATCAGATTGTTCAGTTGAGTGGCCAACATCGTGAATGAGTTTAACTTTTGTCCATCGGATATCAGCAATCTGAATCGATCAGTAGCAGACCCATCTTTATTAACATTTCTCGGCAGTTTCTTGTAACCCTGCAAAATTACACACATTATTAAAGACTCTGTTTCCTAAAAAAACTGCAAGATAGAATCCTTGCAATAGTTAAAATTCTGTGAAAGAACTTAACCTTTTGACTCGATTAATCATATCCTATACATTTCTTTTCTTCGAAATATATGTATATATAAGAATCAATTTTTTTTAAACGATTTATTACGAAACGAAAATTAACCCAAAATATAAGTATCCATTGTGTATAATAATTTTAGTTAGTAATTTTTGACAATAAAAATAAGTTTAACATAACAGGCACACATCACAACTCATGATATATGCCACAGTATGACAAACTTTAAATTTCAATCATAATCCAGATAAAAGTGACAGAAGCAGCGTCACTTCCCTAACCTGGCTATAAAAATCATGCTTTCAAAATAAACATTTTCGATTCGCAAAGATATAACTGATCAGATTCTGTCGAATTATTTTCGCACTCACCAATACTTGGAGAACTGGATTATCGATATCTATGCCTCGCATGATTTTCTGAAACGATAAAATCTTAGTATTAAACAATACGACGCAATATAAAGAAACTTCAAAAGATTTACCTCCAATGCTCCTTCTGTTAAATTGTACATGATTGCGGTTTATTATTATCAGCACGGCCGTAAGAGTTATCAATTTCTTATCGAAACAGAGGGCTTTCGCAAAAAAAGTTCCAAATCTTGACGATCACGTACGATAATGCCCGCTTTTTTTAGCCTTGTTTTACTATGTTCTACTATTTCCCGCCGAACAGATAATATTGAGTGCATTCAGTACTATGATCGCTCACTGAACACTATAAGAGCTCAGTGAGCTCTTATATCTGTTTGATCTATATTTTTAGTTCTAACGGAATATGCCAATTGGATGCAAGAGCTCACTGAGCACTCAGTGAGAGGTAGTACTGAATGCATTCATTGGCTGCGTTTAGTGAGACTCTGTCGTAAGAATTATTCCCGTATGGGAAATAATTCCAATAACAGCACCTCACTGGTCTAGTTTCCACTGAGGGTTTAAACCGGATTAGAATGTAAGAACTAACCAACTACAGTCGAGTATTCCCCTGTTACAGTCGAACAACAGGAGAATGCTCGACTGTAGTTGAGACTGTTTTTTATAGCTGCACTTTCTGAATTAGTACACACAGTGCAATAAGTTGAAGTGAAACAAATAATAAAAATAGGTACCTAATTGTGCAACTACAAAAACTATTCTTCAAGATCTAAGAGCGCATTAACCTTACGAAAAAATAGAAAATGGAAAAGCAGCAGCCAATCAAAACTCGCGCTGATAGTGTACAATTTCGGCTTATGTACTACTTATTATCAGCGCGAGTTCTGATTGGCCACTGCTTTTCGCTTTCTGCTTTTCCGTCAAGGTATGAACGCGTCCTAAAAGTATAATCCAATCATCAAAAAAATCGTTAAACAGTCACAAGATAAATATTCTGCTAAACGCAGCCATTGGATGCATTTAGTACTGCTCACTGAGCTCTTGCTAAAAATTGACCAATCATCTTTGAATATTTCCTTCTTACAGTTCAATGGGAGGGGAATACTCGACTATAATTAGTAAATTTTTTTTTTAATCTTCTTAAAGATTACGACATACGATTACGGCCAATATAAACGCTTCCTAAGTGCTCAGTGAGCTCTTGTTTGGTCTATATTTTTAGATCTAATGGAATATGCCAATCAGATGCAAGAACGCACTGAGCAGTGTAGTACTAAATGTGCCCATTGCTTAACGCTTCTATGTAATAACACCTTAATATAAAGCCACTAGATTAACAAAGTACCGCGATGAAAAAATTCACTGAATTATTTGGAGCCAAAATGATCGAAGTACTATTCTAAGTATGATTCTTTTAAAAGCTTGGAAATCTATATAGAGGTTAGAAAGAAGAAGAAGAACCTGATTCTGTTATTATCAAAAATGCCCAGTTGCTGTGTGTTGAAAATTGCAAAAATCGCAACAATAGAGGCTGAAATTTTGAATAACATCATGGAGCCAAAATGGCGGCAGTTTGCAATACTTTGTTAATCTAGTGACTTTATCTTAATTGACGAATATCAAGCGTCAATTTTGATCACGAGACCTGTTGACGCTCGAATCGAGCGTCAAGCGTCAGCATGAAAATGCAGCCTAATATAAACACGTGTGTCGCCGGAAGCTGTCTCTACACTCTCTGCTCTTCGTCTGCGCACCGGAAACCTGGCGCAAGAGATCGCCGTGACGCAATCATTTCCTTCGTGCCGGACGCCGTACTCGTCGTATTCCGTATTCATCACGTTGTATTCATCGCGTAGTTTTCTGCCGTCAACTTTCCTCCAACATGAACGGTATCGTAAGGAGCGCGTTTCGCGCCACGGCATTTCGCGGTATGCTGTCGTCTTCGTGCGGCAGCAACATCAGCGGTCAACCCGCCAGGGCTCTGTGGAACGTGTGTAGTCGCCGGCAGATCGCCGAGATCACGCCTCTCATTTCCACGCCTGAACTGCATAATCTCCGCGTTCAAAGATGCTACAGCATGTCGCACAGCAAAGGTATTGACCCATCGACGAGGGTGTCTTGTCGACCACGCGTTGATCGTCTCCGTGACTGGGACCACATGCGCTTTTATTGGTTTCCATATTTGTTGAAAGAGATGTTCAACTCGGAAACGGAAATGTTTTAAATATTAATTGTGACTTGAAACATCCTTTTTTTTTTCTCTTCTATTAAATAGCAATTCTTTAAGTTTTCTTAAGTCCTATGACTATAGACTGATGCAATTGAAAAATTTATTAGTCTTTGTAGGTAAACTTCATACTTTTCATTTCCTTCCTTTTTCTCTAATGTATAGTTTAACTATGCAAAGAGTATAATATACAGTACTATAAAGAACAGATATGAAGTCTTATAATTTATAAATATTAATTAGTTTTCTCTGAGAACATAGATTTCATATATCGTTTTTAAAATTCTATTTAATATTGCTTTGTGCACTGTATAATTTGATCTTTCTTAAGTATGACAATCTAAAATTATATCAATAAGCAAGATTTTTTTGTTTTGTATACAGAAATATGTAATTTTGTATAATTCTGCTTGTTTATTTTACTAATTATATTTTTTTTTATTAGCGGAGAAGGAATTAGTGGAATTTCTAGCTGAGGAGATAGTAGCTGAAAAGAAGGCACAAAAATTAAAGATGATACCAACAACATTAGATAATTTTTCAGTATCCCTTAATGGTGCCGAAGTCACTCTTGAAAAGAAAGACGGCACTGATACGTAAGAAATTTGTTATATTGATATATGGATATATTATATTGATATATGGATTTAAAGTGCTGATTTATGATGTACCTGATTTATAATATTCTTTTCCAGTATCCATATTTCATTTAATGTGAACCATACGGTAGATTCAGATTCTGAAACAGAAATAAATCCTAGTAGTGACAGTGTAGACATCGGCGAAATGAAGAGCAAGCCAAACTTTACAGTAGATATAGTGAGAGGCAATCAGACTTTAGGTTTTTCATGTTCTTTCAACAATCAAGCTGGTGCATCAGGTACTGATGATAATTATAGTAAGTACATTAGCAATAAATAAGGGATTTGTTAGATTGTTTATATTATTCATTTTTCAAATTTTAATTTTTAATTTGTATTAATTTTTTTTTGCAGATGACATATTTGGCATCGATGAAATCACGCTGTATGAAGGCAACCACAATGAAAAGGTGTACTCCGTAGCTGGTGAAATCATCGATGGAGTAAGTATGATTTTCGAAGAAGCAAGGAATTATTATCCTGTCTCTATATCTCTGTAATTATTATTTTATGTAAAAATTAGTACAACTAAATAATTAAATATATTATAGTTTGACATGTAGTATAAATATCAAAAACTTAAAAGCCCAAAATAAAAAAATAAATTGGACTTTAAATTTATCTTTTTGCTTTGTAGACTATTGCTTTGTAGACTATGCTTTAATATATGCTTCATAGTTTTAAGTAAAAAATGAAAGAAGTTAAAATACATATCAATTTGATACATAAAGATTATAAATATATCTCCAAAGTGTTGAGTACAAAGCAGCTTATATCAAGGCTGCTTTGATTATTGATCTTTGGAAAATCATTAACGTTCTTATAAAATTAACTCATGATTATTTGTCATGTGTTCGTCGAAATAAGAATGTGACATGTTTTATTCTAACTCTTTTGTTGATATGTTTTCTTAATTCTCTGTTCCAGATCTGAATACTTCTATAACTAAGACATAAAATACATTTTACATAAATTAGATTGTTTTTTTTTAATTAAATGTTAGATAAATCAGCTTAAATTAAATACTATTTATTTATTTTGCAGTATCTGTACGATCTACTGATGAACTACCTCGAAGAGAAAGGTATTTCAAACGAATTTGCAGAGAAATTGATTGAGTTGAGCACATGCTATGAGCATACAGCCTATGTCAGTCTACTGGAGGGCTTATCAAAGTTCACATCCGGAAAATAATTCTAAGAATTAATATTAAGATGTTAAGATTATCTGCGATTCTCGTAACGATGTAGTTTGTAAGAATTATATAATAAAATTATGTGCTGACGCGTATTTTTACTAATTAATTTCCAAGACATTCAAACAAAATGGAGTATATTAGAATACAATGACAACATTTTTGTTTTATCATGTAAAAAGAAAATATTCCCTGTTAATGAATAAACTAAAACTGTATTAAATTAAAACTAGAATTTTTATCTCCCAGATATTTTACCAGACTTTATAGTCGTTAAGGTGATTTCTTGTATTTTTTACCTCCCTTTATCTTTACTTATTTTATGTACTATACAAAATAAATTAATTTGTATTACTTTTTTATCTTAAATATTTTAATTCTTACAATATATAATTTATTGTATTCTCGTTTCTTCTCTTTTTTTTTAAATTCAATATTTTTCATACATTTATTTTCGCTTGTTCTCAAATCTCAAATAAGATATGTCCAACAATAAGAAAAGAAGATTCATACAGATAAATGCAATCGCGCGAAGAAAAGGAACCGAAAAGAAAAGTAGGAAGACAGAAAGGAAGGGGGGGTCAGCAGCAGTTCCATGATTCGTCACTGATACGGATCGCAAACAGCGGGATGGTAAGATGGACCAAAATGGACGCAATTGGATGAAGAGAGACTTGGGGAGACTCGTGGACACGACGATGGCGTAGGTAGTTGTCCGCCAAGCGCAAAGTCCTCGCGACCGTCGTCGTCGCCCTCGCCTTCGCGTGAGTCCTCGTCCTGAGAATGTCGTGCCGTAACCCCGACAACCTCATGATGAACACGAGCGATGACGAGAGCTTCGACTACCTGTTCAAAATCGTCCTAATTGGCGACTGCGGCACGGGCAAGACTTGCGTGGTGCAGCGCTTCAGGTCCGGAACATTTGTTGAGCGCCATGGCAACACCATCGGCGTCGATTTCACCATGAAGACCGTGCTCATAGACGGCAAGAGGGTGAAGGTGCGCCGCATTCCAGACATGCATTCACGTCAAGCTTGAAGCTTAACCTATGCTCCGATTGCGTTATCAACACACTTCTATAGAATTTCTTCTCAGAAATCAGTGATTATCAGTACTCCGCAGTACTCTGTGTTTATGTTTTTTTTTTCTAGGCTGTTTACTATATAAGTTTGTTTTTTATTGTTACCGGATTGGACTAGACTTTTCTTGATCTCTCTTGCCAAATTTCAAACATATATTTATTTTATTTTAAGTACATACTATATAGTTCAGCTATAAAAAAACAGATCTAGTAAAACGAACAAACTAATAATAAGTGTACATCACGACTTCGATTTCAATAGAAAGAGGAGAGGAAACATGAAAAAGAGTAGAGTTAAAAGATAGAAAAAAATTTGTAATTAATAAAAAATTATGTAAGACTTGTATAAATAGACTGCTGTGTCGTCTGTGTCTGGATTATGTATTCAATTTGAGATTGAGCTTTCTTCTAATGAAATTCATTTGTATGCTTAAATTACAAATTTGTACGTTAAATATCTTATTGATGATAATCCTTGAAGCAAAATCTGATAAATTTTTATACAATCTAAAAGAATAATGTAATCTGTTTGAATTCATAGATTATAATTATTAATATAGATAGTGAGATTATTAATATTTAAAATCATAATAATTATTGGAGCTCTTATCCTGTTATTGACAGTTACAAATATGGGATACCGCAGGACAGGAAAGATTTCGAACAATAACACAGAGTTACTATAGATCTGCAAATGGGGTAATCGTAGGTACGTAACTAATTATGAATTCTTATATTTCATATTAGTCTGCAATAATTTATTTTTTAACATGTATTGTACTATTAATTTAAAGAATAATTTAAAAATTAGTTTAATAAAAAAATTAATGGGAATTATACTGTAGTTTTCGGTCAGGGCAATAGAATTGTTTTTTGTTGCATAATTTCTATTATCTGAAAAATTATATTACTATGACATTATTCTAATAAACAATACTCGATTATTTTAGTTTACGATATTACGAAACGATCGACGTTTTTAAGTTTACAACGTTGGGTTGAAGAAGTCCGGAGGTATTCGTCGTCGCATGTGTTACTGGTATTAGTTGGTATGATCATTTTATGTGCATACATTATAATAATTATTATGCTGTAATGATGTTGCATAATTTCCATGCATTTTTTGCTTTGCAGGTAATAAATGTGATTTGGAAGATTTACGTGAGGTGAAAGAAATAGAGGCTGAAGCCTTATGCCAATACCTGCCGGAAGTTTTGCACGTAGTGGAGACCTCAGCCAAAGATAATACAAATATAGATTCCATCTTTTTTTATCTGGCATCGGAACTTAAGGTAAACCCATTTTCTATATCGCGCATAAAGTACTTAAATAATTAAAAAAAAATTAACGCATTATTTATTTTTAGAGACGACACGATAATCGACAGATTAGCGCAAGTGAGGAAGAAGTGGTGAAGCTCGGTGTCGGTCGAAATCTATCTTCTTGTTCGGGTTGTTCTTATAAAATATTCTAAATTCTTATCACAGACATATCGTTCGATACGTTGAATGCGGATGAAATTTTCATGAGCTGAGTGTCCAGTGATAGATAAGATAAAAGGCAGTCGACGATTGTGATATCACACAATTTCGTCTGCATCGTACATTTTAATGTTACTATTCTTGAAATAATAATTGAAAAATTAGAAATTAGTATGCCTCAGTATACTAACTATACCAAGAATATCGATTTCCCTAAAACATCGTATGAATCTTATCATCTTTTTACAAACATTTCACTGCCCTTTATCTTATTAGCCCGATACAAAATAGACTACACACGATCAGCGTAATTCTATCCATACAACAGAAAGATATTCAGGTGCCAAATTTAAGATATTTTTCTATTCGCGCGGATTGGAACAGTAGCTATTATATCTAATCTTGGGAGACATGAAAGCAAAAAGATCTAATTTTTAGAATAAAAAATAGATCATTTCTACTCCAAAAATTCGCTGTTCCGGGAAAGTACATATGTATATTTTTATATGCGATTTAACAAAAACGTACAAATATATACTTGTGCACACATGTTGACACTTTACCCAATATTGCGACCTGAAGAGATCTTAGAGTATCTAGTGCCTTAAAACGTCACATTTTCGTACGCTAAACACACAGATATTCGCAAAGTATAATCGAGACATTTGCAGAAGATTTAAATTGCGAGTGATAACTTAATGTGTTTTTTTTTATTTATTTTATTTATTTGCACGTGCGAATGTGAAGTTTGGCCTCCCAATCGCCGAGCATCAATTAAAAGCTGTAAATATTAATCCACAGTCGCATTCTCATTGTACATTTTACGCTAAAAACGATTACTCTAATACTTGCGATTTTTGTTAAATTGAATAATTCAATAATTATTAAATAACTCGGATCTAATTCAAACATAATTTATATAATAATTCAGATTCGCATTCGACGTTGAAGGGCAATGGGAATGCGAGCAGGTATGTAGAATGCGTTTCGTTTAAACAAACGCTATTGTTATTTGTGAACAGATATAACGAATCTCTATTATTGCTTATGTAATAAATCGTAATATATTTTTTTGATACTTATATTGCGTGTATTCTCTCAAAATACTCATTGTGAATGCAAATTATGTTTTGATAAGAAATGAAATACTAAAAACATAGTAAGATACGTAAAATCTTAGAGAATATATCCAAGTAAAGTATTCTTTCGCGAATTTAGATTATTAGAGATAATTGCATCTTTTGAAAAAAATATAGATATATATTTTAACATAAATAAATGAAGAAAACAATATTCGAAGCGAATCAAAGTGAATAAAAAATTTTATTAGACCAGTCAAAAAGAATATATATATATCCGTTTTTAATAAATTCTGTTGTTAATAAATATAATTAGATATGAAACTGTCTGAACTGTGTGCAAAAAAAAAAGGATATTGTACGAAACATAATTTTATATTAAAGCTTAAAATATTTACAATTGTGCGCCGAAATAATACATAAAATACTGTCTCGCAAGACTGATCAAGTGTTTCAAAATTGCGTATACAAGAATTTAGAAGCTTGCTATAAAATAAATTTTACTTATAGTCTATTGAGAATAAAATATTGATGTTTCGTCTTCTTTTCGTTGTATAAAAACTTCTGAAATTTTTTAAATACTTGATTAATTTTGCGAGCAATTGTACCATACGAGATGTAATTGAAAATATTTATTATATTATATGTATATGTAGAGACAATTAAAAAATATATTTTTCTTTAAAATACATGATGTTTAGTGTATTGGTTTTGTTAGTTAACATGGGTTTATGTATTACATTTGATATATTTGAGATATAAGAAGTAATTGCTTTGCATAAATGTATATTGATTCCAAAGATAACTCATTCTATATTATAAATTGTTCATATTCACACATTCTATATTGTAATTCGATAATTGTTGAAATATATTTATAGAGACAATATATAGAAACTAATCGTCTTTTAATGAGAAAGTTTTTTGCGACAAAGTCAATTTAATTTTATAAATATTTATTCAACATCATTATTCGGTTTATGTGGAATTATATATATAAAAGTTATTTAGAGAATTGTCAATTTCGATATGAATTAGTATACTGTAAGTGTATATGAATAACATGTACACGCATTAATATTAAAAGATCATAAAATGTTAACTAATATTCACTCGTTTTTATTGCATCAAAATAATATAGTAGATTTAATAACTATATTAAACAAGATGAAGCGAGGTAGAGAAGACAATTCTAGTTGACAACATAATTCAGATATATTACCGACGTTTGAAACTGACCATAAATTCACAAAGATTAATTTGAAATTAAATCTTAAATATCACAAATATTTTGTTGCTTGTACGTTAATTTATTCATCGTATATTGAAAAATTTAGATAACTAGTATTAGCATAAATGTATAAACATTTTCTTTTTAGTCTTATATAAAAACAATTTTACGTAAAGGCACTTTATAATGTTATAACTTTATAATGCTGTTTTTACATTGTATGTAAATAGGTCTGTTCACGTGACTTGAAATTCTAAAAACAATTTTTACATTTAAAATTAGATATATATATATATATATATATATATATTTGGATATTGAAGAAAGAAAAGAAGATTTTGAATGCAAAAAGTGTTGCAAGCAGCGAACAGATCTAATATCGTTGTTATTATGTAAATACAAAGCTACGAATGATAATAGTTAAATTTCAGCGAATTGTAGACATATTTGAAAACATTTTTAATTGACAATGTAAGGAGAGAATGTTGCAAAATAATTATGTTTCATTTTACAAATCAACAAAGAAGTTATAATAGTTTCGACTTAAATATCCTTTCTATCAAAATATTTTCTGTTAAAATCACATAAGTGCCTGAGATTCTTACCTGTATTTGATACTTGCTATGCGTGATATAATATACATGTATAAAAATTCTTTGTTAATTATATTTCTTAAAGAATTATATGATTATGAATTGCTACTATTATTGTTGTTTAATATGATTTCTAAAAGAATAAATTTTAAAAAATAAATTAATAATAACTTTTTAAAGAATAAATTTGTTTTAAATATCAATGCGATAAGAAATAATATATTAATGTAATCGAGACAAAAAAAATGATCAAAAAAGATTTGATTTCTAATACGAAGACGCTTCATTCAATGATAAATAATATCAATAAAGTATGTATTACCAATATAATATAATTGATGTGTGTGTGTATTGTGTGAGTGTGTGTGTGTGTGTGTGTAAAAAAGAATTAATCAAGCAAAACCTCGAACCTTTTATTTTACACACATATATATATATGTATATATATATATCTTTGTAGAATAAAATTGACTATAAACAATTCTAAACTTTGAAATTTAACACATTGATCTCATACTCTCTTGTAAGTCCTCCTGTACTGTTCATCCACCTGCGTTAAGTAATATGTGCCCGGAAACATGTCGTCTATACTACTCTGCGGAGTGAATGGTACAACGTGACAATTTTGTTCTCTTGACGCCAGAACTTTGGTATAGTTCTTTGGGGAAACACAGTGACGTCCTTCTAATTGCGACTTGACGTAGGAAAGAGCGGTAATGATTTTCGACAAGCCAGAACCTTCACGCGTATCCCTCGTTATTGTCAACGAATATAGACTGGAGCAGAGACCCGAGCCATAAGAAAATATGCCAACCTTGTTGCCTGCCAATTCACTTATCGGCTTTGATATAAGCAATGACACTAAACCGGAGTACACGGATGGTGTGTACATGTTTCCAACTTGGTTCGCTATCAGCAAGCTGGGTTCAGTCTTTTGCTCAAAGTCCGCCTTGCTCAGCTGCATGAATATCTTCTCGATATCCCGATTGAAGTAAGTGTCCTCGAGCTTGGCAGCGTGGAATTTCACTGCGTCCTTGTAACTGTCGGGAATCTGATTCTCCGGCGTGTTCAAGAAATCGATAAAGGCCAGCCTGGCGAATGATTTCTGTACGAGTTTACAGTATGGTGAATGGAAGAGCATTGCGTTGAAGTTGATCAAAGTGACGGGGTTCTCACCGGGGCTCTTCCTCTTGACTTTTTCACGATACAACTGATAACAGTTGTCCAGAGCGCTAAGGTAGCACTGGATCGACAGCTTGCCGTCCACCATGGGATATTCGGAGCGCATGTTCGGCTTGTAAAAGTCGTAAGCATGCCTCATACAGGACGCTCGGAGACCACGGTCGAACACGAGTGGTGCATCTGCACCTACCAGGATGGCTATCGCGCCCGCGCCACCCGTAGGCCTGGCATTACCCGTAGAATACACCGCGTTGTCGGCTGCAACGACCAGGGCGAATCTACCGTCCCAGGCGCTGCTCTCCACCCACGCTATAGCGTTGAAAAGAGCGGCGGTGCCGCCGTAGCAGGCATTGGTGGTGTCTGCGCCCTCGATGTCGGTACAACCGTGAGGTTCGAAGAGTTGCATCAGCACAGTTTTCACCGACTTGCTCTTGTCGATGATGGTCTCGGTGCCTATCTCCAATCGGCCGATGTCCTGTGGCTTGACTTCGTAACGTTCCAACAGCCGAGAGGTAACAGTGAGGCACAACGAGTTGATGTCCTCACGATCGTTACAGAAACCCATTCGCGACTGACCCAGGCCGATCGTGTACTTGCCCGCGGACACGCCGTCGTACGCCTCCAGTTCCGTCTGCTCCACGTACTGCGCCGGGAAGTAGACCTCTAAAGCCCGGATGCCAACGTCCTTCGGCCACATCTTGGTCGAGTCGTGCGATGTTCTTGGAAATGATGCTCCTCTTTTGGGATCTATATAGTCAGCTTGTCAAAGCTCGAGTCTGTTGATTGATTGATTCTAATTAATCACTGTGTTATTATCTCTCGCGTAATACGTAAGTACCTGACCCTATTGAACTTACCGTAATATATATAGCAACCGCGTAGCTCCACGCGACGTGCTTTCGCGATATCTGGAGTAATCGAGTTCAAGTAAAAATCTTCCGTCTAGCGTTCGTTGATAATGATGATGACAAGTCGTTATGAGTCAAGGCATACACACACATAAATCCACACATGTATACGTACACCCGTTTGCTCGTCTTCGCCGAATTCAGGTTAGAAGTGAAACTCCGCTCAGCTCGGTGAAAATCCCGGTCGTCGCTTTCAATTGCGTGCTTCGAAGCCCGCACCTTCGTTTCGTTAAGTCGGCCGGTCGACAGCTCGTTCGCTCACTCACTTCTTCGACTCGGCCTTTGCGCCTCACGTGGTTTCCACGGTGTTGACAAAGACGTTCGCACGCGACCTGACTCTCGCGAAAGTCGCGAGCAAATGCGGCGCTCAGCTGCTCACGCGCGATGTATAACAATAATACAGCCGGCGCCGCCACCGGCCGCCGAACTTGGACTTCGATGGTGGGAGAGGACAAAGATTCTCCGTCGCTGACGGAGTCGGATAGATTCAGATTAGAACTCATGCCTGCTCATGCAATTTTAATTAAATCTTTAAATCTTTGCTGTCCTTAAAGTGACTTTATACGGTCAATAAAAATGTCAGTAAGAGCTTTTCAAGAGACAAAGGCTGCCCTGGTGAAAATTTTTCTTATAATTTTTATACGAATTGGAACATTTTTCAAAAATACTCAGAAATATTCGGAAAATTTATATCTTCTCTCAGAACTTCTACAAGTGATTGATCTCTAGAATACTGACGATGATCCATGTAACGTATTTTAATAATAAGGAATAATAAATTTCAACTATCAGAAACTAGATACATCAAAATATACGGTTTCTGACAGATTAAAATGGAGATTAATTGTGTATTAGGATTAATGCCACAGTGTGTTACATAGATATTGTATGTAAAACTATAGAAGTGAAATATATTATCAATAATGCTGATTATCTAAACTATATATATTATAAAAATACTAAAAATATTGATGCATACTGTCAGTATTACTGATTCAATATTACTGATTACTATTATCGTGTAGAATCACTTTTCCAGTAAAAAATTTTTTAAATATGAATATGTATAAATATGTATAAATATATATAAACACGCATAAACATTCATAAATATGTATAATTATATTTTCATACATAAAATATGTTCATACATGTTCATATATCCTTTTTTCTTTTGTAAAATTACTTTTCAGTGTAATACAAATAATAATAGTAATGTGAAAACATAAAAAATAATTAAAGGGATCATC